TGTCCGTAACCCTGCCGTACGAACCGATGCGCAGAATCCATCGCAGACACTGTTGATGGAACCCCACAAGATATCTCACATCTCGCCGGTACATCGTCCGGATAGAAAAACGGATAGCGCCATAGACTTGTAGCCCATCAAGTTCGTGTCAACGGTAAGCAGGTGATTGTTCCACAAACGTTTGTCAAAGCGCATTAATGAGCACCTTCCACGCTGGTTGCGTCGAGGCGGTACCGGGGCTATAACTAGCTCTATTATGGCTCATCTAGTTGATAGTGGGCACGAAGTCGATCCAGTCCGCGCCTTTCGAATACTCTACAAGGTTCTGCCACTCCAATCGAAAGGCCTACGCCTCCGCACCCTCGATACAGCTGAGGCGATCAGTATTCGGTTGTATCAACCGCTTTCGTGTTCACAAAAGAAACTGATCGAAACTCGCAAGTTACTATGGCCGAAAAAAGTGGACGATTCGGAGGCCGGAAGGAATCATTTGACTACATCTTTGCCCTAGTGTGCGCTTATCGTTTAGGTTCATTGCTGGTTTATGCCCCCAGTTGGCACGTGGTCCAATTTCATTTGAACTGATCAAAACCAATGTTTCTTCCGTTGTTTTTTCCCCATATGATTGTACAGGTCTGACGAGGAATTCGTCTAAAACAATTGTTTACCTTCGGTGCCTTGTTCTTGATTTCTCAAGATTGCCGAAACAGCAGCCGCGTTTGCTACGAGCATGCTCAGATCACTTGTCCTCCGCTGGTCGGAAGAGAGTACACACCCAAGGCGAAAACAACTCGAGGTGGTTTCCGAAACCTCAGCACCAATGTGCATTTCCGGCAGGCCCATGGATTCCACTTTTGGAGTATGCCGAAAGGATAATCGGTCTTGTGTATGCTAATGGGAGCCCGAAATGGGCAGCTGTCAATGAGAGAAATGAAGCTATTTAATCCAACTCATATGCGCTGTGGGCAAACAACGCACAGTCCTCAGTAAACAGCAGCATACAGGTGCTTGTCTCACAACCCAGGTTTCGCTCAATGAAGCGACGGATGTCCAGCAAACCACCATCAATATGACGTTCCACACGAACACCGTAAGCACAAGCCGCATCAAAAGTACACATCACTGCATAAAGGCAAAGATCAAACAGATCAGTGGCTAAGACAGCCTTGCTTCACACCAGAGACAACTGCAAAGTCCTCCGATGTCTGTCCACTCAGCTGCACTTTGGCCCGCATACCACTGTGTAGACATCCAAGTAAGATGACAAAATTACTCGGACAATCAACCTTACCCAACACCAACCACAATGCCTAGCACTTCACCGTATGTACTGCTTTTGTAAAGTCAACGAACAGGGAATACAATGGTTGGTGTCACTTATGGCATTTTCCCTGCAACTGATGAGCCACGAACACCATATCTATGGCGCTGTGGCCCGAAAAGAATCCACATTGCTCTTTCGCCATTTTTAGTTCAATGGCCTGAGTGGCGAGGTGGTTAAGTAGGATTCGACCTATCATTACCCACACAACTCAGCAAATTGATTCCACGATAATTCGTGGCACATTGTTTGCTTCTTTTGCCCTTGTTATCCGGTGGCCGAAGGGATTGCATGCCTGGCTGGCAATGTCTAGGCTACCGGTTCGACTCCACTTAGGGGCAGGCCTCCTCGTGGATTTTTAAGCCCACGGACGACTGGTGGTGTGGGTTTGGCAGCGAAGCTTCGGTACAGCTTGCCGGTGTAATTCTGATGATATTTTCCCCTTTGCTTTTGCATACGGACATCCTTCAGTTTGGACAGCATTTATACATGTGACAGATATTCACCATACTTGGATAAACACAATAAGCTGAGGGGGAGAAGAGGAACCAAACAACTGCAAAATTTGCATCATGGGAATAAGATCATCCAAAATATCCGCTAATGAATGTGAGCCCTTGTCATGTCCGAGAGAGTTATCAGCCAGGCGTGCTCGTGGTCCGTCTGACTTTAGCCAGTGTTGAGAGCACCCGATTACGGCCAACTTTTCTGTTAGCGTCGACCTACTTTGGGCCCATGTTATTTTTATCTAACCGACTTCTGCGCGCGCAGGGTGGATGCGGTGAGGGAAACGTTGTGTTGCCATGCCAGACCTGTGCAGTGAAATTATGAAGCTTATCGGACGGCGGAATCTGTCTGGATTATAAATCCTTCGATGAGCATCATTACAAATGGGATGTTGCCTTCTCACAGCAGCAATGCTCCGAATACAGCAGTGGTCAAAAACTGGTTTCTTCTGAACCTCTTTTTCGCGAACAGCCCAGGTCTGGTAATTATGGGGCAGGACCATTCTCACAGCGGCATTGTAGACTTGGTCCATCAGAATGAGGCGCAGGTCGCATCAACGCCATAGATTATTGAGACTAGAAAAAGTAACCAGAGCTTTAGTGAGGCATAAACAGAACTCGACCGTTACATTTTGGACGCTGATATAGCCTCCGAAGCGAACGAAACTTTTTGCCATTTTCAAAAAATACACGGAAATGAGGAGAAAAGGTCCAGCTCCTAGATAGTCCTGCAAAATAACCTTACATTTCGATGGATAACATGCATTCCAAGCTGGGACGCTGACGCCTCCATCACACACAATCAATTTTGGGCGGCCTGTGAGGAATTGCAATGTCGATGTCGTCTGCATACCCCGATTCGCGAATTCTGTCACCGGAATCTGATCAACGCCAATTGGTTCGCGGCCGTCCAGAGCACTCTCCAGGATGTTATTAATGGCGAATTTAAACACGTCATTAGTGTTACTAATGTGGGACGATGGTCGGTCATACACCAGCACTCCATCCGAGTTTGAGAGTAAATGGCTTGAAGCTTTTCCACATACTTTTCTGACAACCTCCTTTTTCTACAGATACTTCAAGAGAGTAGGTCTTCCAACTGAGCCAAAGGTAGCTAGTATATCTGAGGAAACAAGTGTTAGCCAGCCGAGCGTTTGATTACGCTCGATTGTTTGTCGGAGCGTAAAGATGTGATCAATACAACCCAGCCCAGAACGGAACCCAGCTTGCTATTCGCGGATGTTCTGTTCGCGAACCAGGCTTCGCCTCCTTAAATCTAGGGCAGCGATTACTTTGGACGCGACGCAAACTAGATTAATTCATTGGTGCTTTACGTGGTTTGTCCGAGACGCTGTTTTGAAGACGGGAAAGTTATCCGCAATCGCATGGCACTGCTTTAGTGATACAACATTCTTGGAGAGAAGCTGGTTTCCGTACAATTGATGGGATCCCATCTTTGAAAAGACTCGGAGCGAGTTCATCCGGGGCAGGGATTTCGTAAGGCCTTAGGAGATGAAGCTCGTAAGCGACCTCCGCCTCAGATGGTAGTGAAGTATCTACACATCAGAGAGCACTGTGGATTGCAGGCTTGTTAAACCTTTGCTCGAACTGCGCAGCCCTTTGCACAATTAGACGTTGTTGACAGTGAATTGGCTCACCACTGGTTTCACCCAAAACTGCGCTTACAGTCGGCTTTTTACCGCCATTGAAACGAATTAAAAGGAAAAGTCCTTGGAAATTCCTCGAGGCGCATGCCCTCTCCAACTCGATGAACTGCTGTGTCCACCATGTCTTACCAACCTTCCGGATGAGCTTATGGAGCTCGGCGTTGGTAGTTCTGCGTAGTATGATACTCAGCGCCAGCGAGCTTTGCCCAACGTTCTTCGATTAGCTGACCAGATCGTGCGGAGATCCAGAGGTTGACAAGACTACTGGTGGAACCACAGACCAAGGTCGCAGAGTTGTGCGTGACTCTGCGGCTGTACGCCCATTGCGTCGTCATGCCTGAGTATAAGGCAATTCGATGCTTGAGGCCAAATCCTCCTGAAAGAAGTCCATAAGCTTAGAAATAGAAATGTTAGACGCGTCGAGCACTTTTCGGTGACACTATTGGGTACCACCAAAAGGTAAAGCTGGCTTTGTACACATGTATGAATGGTTCGAAGTGAGATATGTACTCCAAATTTATCTGCAATCCTGTATACAGCCTCGCCATCAGTAATGGATGGCGATGTAGTCGATTTGCTTCCACGGTTGACCAAGTGGTCGGGTCTCCAACTGGCGAGTTTAGTAGCACGGGGACCAGGCACTGCACTCTAAACAAGTGAACCCGTTGTCAGGCACGAAAGCCGTTGACATCCTGATGGGTTATAGGCCCTTATGGTGTTCAGTTCAAGTAGAAGCCGGTGGCTCTCAAGCTCGTTCATCCGCCCGCCATTTTGTACCCACTTCTGGTTACAGAATTGGGGCTCCAAGATCTTATGGTCAGTCACATTGGCTTTAACACAACACCGCGCCAGCTGTTGTGGTGATCAGCCCAGAATCCTGGCACGCTCTAGGACGCTGCCACTGACTGTCCGCGACCGCCTAATAGTCTCGCCTACAAATGGACGAGACTTATGCACAGTTATCTGGGAACGCACCCGGTAGTGCACAGCTCCGCCGAATTAACAAGTGGTCGGTTGCACTTGAATAGTAATGCCAAGCTGACATAGACTAATAACATATGTTATTAGAACATGATAATGCAGCGCACGCAAAACCTACTCCCGGCGACTATTGATATTTGAACGAATTAACGGACCGTATTTATTGCTGCCATGTGTATGCAAGTTTAAATGTCATTTATGGTCATGCACATCGAATCAATCCGTATAATGTGATGTTCAAAGAAATTAATCCGAAGGCGGAAATAAAATATTATTCATTTGTTTGTTTAACAATGGGTTTCACTTGGGGTTTCTGCCACCGTATGTGACGGCAAAACAAATCAGGTGATTGTGAACAAAGATCGCTCTGTGTGCGACAATCGTTCACATTTGAGTATATGCTAGATGTCAATTATTTTCCCTGTAAACTTGTAACCTATCTTGGTGCAGCAATCTGCAAGCTAACTATGGGCTACTCGTCATTTACTACAGCTTCAATCAACCGTATTCTCCCTATTGTTGCAGTTCCCGTCATAGATGTGGCTGGTTAATAAACGTGTGCAAGCCTACATGGCCGTCTTCTGCGTGCTCGTCGTTGGCATTATATTCTGGGAAATCCAAACACACGAAAGGTAAATGAAGTCGTGCTTCTGTACATGAAACCACCACCGGTGGATGATCCAACTACCACACTTTTTAACTATCTATCTCTCTTCCTTAGCATCATTAGTGGTTATGGCATTTAAAAAGTTTCAGCGACATTAATAAAGTGTCACACCTCACTATACATATATGGATTTGCTAACTGAGGTGAACAGACGTTCCACTGCCGGTTTAGGTAGTATCTTCATCGCTTAGTATCAAACCTTTTGTTAGGAATCATTGAGATTTCGGTAAATTCAGCAAATGTCCGATGATCATGTTAATTTCCATCAATAGCTCTGTTTCTTTTGGTACTTAAAGCATACGGAACAAGAGTGTGTCTGACGTACATCATCGGTGATGCAGTTATCAGAGGTTTCCCACATCCTGCGTCACATCAGTTTGTGAATGTAGATTTCACATGTCTTCTAAAGGCCTCAGTTAATGAAATATAGATAAAAGGAAAAGGAAAAACTACAGCAGACAGGTGGGCGGTAAGGGTAGAATTGTTGCGTTGCCTCAAATCTACATCATATCTGAATTATTTAATGTAGCTTAATGATAGCAATAGATTTATTGAAACTAAAAGTAACTTAGTTGTCCTCGTTGATACGAAGCAGCTATGTGATGTTCTTTCCCTTCCCTTCGGGGGAGCGCGTCAGTCCGATGAGCGATGGCAAACAAGCCTATGAGAAAAGTTTGAAACCGGGAGCAGTATATGTACCGACATCCGAATCGAGAATTGTAGTCGTGTGGATTGCCTCCAGATCACCGGGAACAGGTGAAAAGTTACCAGTTTGTTACCACAAGTCTAGTCAAAGAGGCGCTTTTAAGCGCACAGAAATGGTGTGTTTGCAGCCACTAGCCTCATGCGATCGTAGCCAACGCGATGCACGAGTCCGTGGTTGAAAGTAATGTGTTTATGTCTCGGTTGTTAATGCATTCAAACGCAAGCGCGCATTTTTCGCCTAGCGATGCGATAGTAACACAAATAATAAGGTGGAGGCTAGTAAAAGTGATGCTGTAGCTGGTTGTCACTTACCTGCATCGCTGTTGAAAACACATCGGTGTTATTTTTGAAATGCAAACGTTTTCCTCACAAATTTCACCCGCACAAACAGGCCAAACGTCTATCATACTGACAAGATGACATCCAACGTAATGCTTGAACTACGCAAGCTGATTCATAAAGCTCATAGAACAGCTCGCTCAGGTCAAACAAAACTGTTGTTGCAGCAGTCACTCAACCTACTGCGCGAAATTGGTATCGAGGGGTCCGATTTGGTCCACGAAGACTCCAGCGTGACTGAGTATTTCGACCTCAGGAAGAGTTCATTACCCGAAACTTGCCCGGAACACTGGGGAAATGGAAGAAAGGAGGATCTGCATCCAGACAACATATATTACACCATTCCATGCGCACGAATACCGCTGGAGGATCTTGTTGAAATACTCCTCCATGTCGACTCCTGTTCTCAAGCAAAACATCTGATAGATCGTGTGCGCCTTATATATCCCAAAATAACAATACACATCTCTGTGGAAAACGCTGCTGATAACAGCGAACTATGTGAACCGTCAGGTAGTGCATTTGTGTACAAGGGCCGCAAGGACGAGGCATCGAACTGGATGACTTTGGCTCGTGTTGGCCGATCAAAGTATATTTTGGTTGGTCGTAATATGGTTGACTTTAGTCGCCACACAGACCTGGATCGTCTACTGAGAGTGATGAACAGTCTGCAAGTGGATATTGTTGGTGGGGCTGTTCGGCTCGAACCAGAAGGTCGCTGGTATCCTGGGTGCTATCAGGTAAGTGTCGTTATTAGTGGCAAGCTTTGTTTTGTCATGTTGGTGTTGTGCTGAATACAAGTGGGTCAATGGACTGGGAAAAGCATTCTTACCGGCTAAGCTAGCTGCGGACTATGTAGTAGATGTGACTATGGGGGATAGCATGTGGTATGTGATTTTAACCCTGAAATACTAGGCTGTCAATCGGTATTGAATACGTTTCGATCGCTGGCTTCATTCAACATTGAGGTGACTACTCCATGAGTCTTCGATACTTACCGTCAAAAGTGGGCGTAAAAAATAAATTTAACTTCACTGATGGCCGACGGAAGAATACCGCAGAATTTGTCGACCTGCGTAGGGTCCTCTTAGATACTTTGCACTGCTTTCGCAGAAATTCTGATCCTAACTTCATAGTACCTGTTGGTGCATGTCACGGAAATTACCTACTGTGGTTGTGTCCAGTTACGTGAACTGTGTGCTAGAAGGACCACTAATGATTGCTTGCTTGGTATCTTAGGCTTTATTTCCCATGGCATTACATTACTCAGTCTAGATGGCAAACGTTTTCATCGACAGCGTTAGTAGGCCTCCCTCTGTTTCCAATTAGTGGCTCCTGATGGCCCTATTTCTATTTACTAAGCTATTGTATATATATATATATATATATATATATATATATATATATATATATATATATATATATATATATATATATATATATATATATATATATATATATATATATATATATATATATATATATATATATATATATATATATATATAGGTCCCGAGTGACCTCTCTCATGGCTCACTAGGCCTGCCTGACTCAGGCACTCGCGACCGCATGTTCTACAGCACAATGCGCTCGATGTCGATGGAGTACAATTCATTGGTGCTTGCCGCTTCCGCAACTGCCGCTTCTTCTCTGCATGCATGAGGGCTTTCGCCCGCACTTCAGCAACTGCCTTCGTGATTAGATCGCGCCATGAACCACGATCAACCGCCCTCGATTCCCATGATCTGCAATCAAGATTAGAACGTGTGAGGCTCACTTTAATCATGTCCTGGTAACGTAACTTTGGTTTCCCCACATGCGACTTCCCTATACTCAGCTGACCGTATAAAAGTTGTTTCGGTATCCGCGTCAAATCCATACGGCTCACATGACCGAACCATCTCAGGTGTCTCAGTAAAAGTATGCAGTCCACTGCATACATCCCACTTCGGCGCAACACTTCCGTGTCTGCAACTCTGGCGCCCTAGCCGATCCGCAAAATTCGTCGCAGACAATGCTGATGGAACCGCTCGAGATATCGCACATCCCGACGGTACATCGTCCACGTTTCACTGCCGTATAGAAGAACGGACAGTACCATGGATTTGTACACCATCAGCTTCGTGCCAATGCTAAGCTGATGGTTGTTCCACACTCGGCACTCTAGCTTCCCGAATGCCGCTGCTGCCTTCGACACGCGATTACGCAACTCAACGTGTAGCTGTTGATCAGTCGATATCACACTCCCAAGGTAGCTGAGCGGGAGGTAGTTTCCAATACTTAAGCACCAATGCTGATTCGCGGCAATATTGAAGATTGCACCTCCGGTGAAGGCTGAAAGAGACAGACAATTTTGCTTGTGTTGATGGTGAGCCCGAATTTGGCCGCTGTCGAAGCCAGAGCACTAGTCATGTGTTGCAACTCATCCGCGCTGTGTGAAAACAACGCACAGTCGTCAGCAAACAGCAACATCCGGATAGTTGTCTCACAGACTAGAGTTCTCGCACCGAAACGACGGATGTTCAGCAACCCACCATCAATACGGTGCTCCACACGAACACCGTAAGCACAAGCCGCATCAAAAGCACAAGACAACATAGCATGAAGATAGATATTAAACAGGGCAGGAGCTAACACACAGCCTTGCTTCACACCAGAGACAACTGCAAAGTCATCCGAGGTCCTCTCCACTCAGCCTGCACCCTCGCTCGCATAACACTGTGCAGACATTCAATTAAACTTACAAACTTACGGCGGGCAACCAAACTTACCCAAACACCCAGCCACAATGCCTCGCGGTTCACCGTATTCAAATGCCTTGGTGAAATCAACAAAAAGCGAGTACAGTGGCTGGTGTCGTTCTCTGCACTTCTCCTGCAACTGACGAGTCAAAAACACCATATCTATAGTGCTCGCGACCCGAACGGAATCCCACACTGCTCTTCCGCCACGTCTAGGTTCCACAACTG